GTGGTACACTCCAAAGGCCATGCCTCTCTGGTGGTTCAAGTCGACCAGCTATTTCACAGGAGAAGGAAGAACAAGCTTCTCCTGTGATTTATAGCCTCAGAAACCCAACAGAGGGTCAGCTATGAGTTGGAACCAACTTGACAGCAATGAGTATATACCCTTTTTAAGCATAAACAAGGCCCCAGGAATTGATGGCATACCAATTGACGTATTTCAACAAACAGATGCTGCCCTGGATGTGCTCACCAAGTTGTGTCAAGAAATATGGAGGATAATCACCAGGCCTACTAACTGGAAAAGATCTGTATTTGTTCCCATTACAAAGAAAGGTGATCTGACAGAGTGTGAAAATTATCAAATGGTATCATTGATATTGCATGGAAGCAAGATTCTGCTGAAGATTATCCCAAAACAACTGGAACAGCACATCAACAGAAAATTGCCTGAAGTGCAGGCTGGATTTAGAAGAGACCGTGGCACTAGGGATATTACAGCTAATGTCAGATGGATCTTGGCTGAAAGCAGGGAGTACCAGAGGAATGTCTCTGTGTTTCATTGACTATGCAAAGGCATTTGACTATGTGGATTCCAACAAACTGTGGCTGACTCTGAGAAGAATGGAAATCCCGGAACACTTGATTGTGTTTATGTGAAAGCTATTCTTGGACCAGGAGGCAGTAGTTAGAACAGAGCAAGGAAACACTGCTTGGTTTAAAACTGGGAAGAGTGTACGTAAAGCATGTGTCCTATCTCCATATCTTTTCAATCTATATGTGGAACAGCTTACCCAGGAGCCTGGGCTCTATGATCAGAGTGCAGCATCATGATTAGAGGAAGAGTCATCAACAATATGCGTTATGCAGGTGACACAACCCTGCTTGCTGAAACTGAGGACCTGAAGCACTTGCTGCAGAAGGTCAAGGACTGCAGCCTTCAATATGGATTGAAGCTCAACATCAAGAAAACAAAGATTCTCACCACTAGGCAGATTGGCAGCATCATGATAGATGATGAAGAGATTCAGATTGTTGACAGTTTCCATTTGCTTGGCTCTACAATCAACACTCTTGATACCAGCAGCCAGGAAATTAAAAGACGAAACACAGTTGGAAAAGTCTGCTGTTAGAAACCTCTCCAAAGTACTAAAGAGCAACAATGGCAGTCTGGAAACTAAGATGCACCTGATACAGACCATGGTCTTTGCAATTACTTGCTATGCATCAGAGAGCTATACAATGATTAGGGATGATAGAAGGAGAGTTGATGTCTTTGAGCTTTGGTGCTGGAGAAGAGTACTGAATATATCATGGACTGCTAAAAGAACAAACAAGTTTATCCTGGAAAGGGTGAAGCCAGGATGCTCCTTGGAGGCAAAGATTCTGAAGCTCCATCTGACATATTTTGGACATATTGCAAGGTGGGATCAGTCCTTGGAGAAGGAAGGTATTCTTGGCTGGGTGGAGGGACAGCGCAGGAGAGGAAGACCCTCAATGAGATGGACTGACTCAGTCACCGGGGTAATGGGGATGGTGGTGTCAGAGACAATGATATTGGCAAAGAATTGAATAGGGTGTAGAACTATTGTGTATAGGGTCACTATGAGTCACAGGCGACTCAACAGCACATAAAAACAACAATAAAGTACACAAATTTTTATATTACACACATAGCCACAGTATTTGGACTAAACTAGCAATTTATTATTTTATAATAAATGTTGGCCCATGATGAAATGCATCCAGCAGGGTACAAGTAAAACTTAAATATTTGCTGTTGCATATCAACTTTCTAGGAAATGTTGTCATGGACTGCCAAGGACTACCATAACTAAAGTAAGCTATGAAAAAGAAAAAGATGTTTTTACATACATATATGGTAATAAAAGAGAATATACTTTTACCACTCTCTTACCACTTCTCCAAGCCTTATTGTTGTGTATAATATTTTAAAA